GGGGGTTAAGGGGGGGTTGTTGTTGTGTATATACCAGGGTAAGTGTCGTATATGTGTGACAGCACTGTATTGATAACCAGCCAATTGGTTGACATCGTTCACCACAAACCTGATGGTCGCCTCAGACCGACCCCTCTCTGCAAATATCAATACAATAATTATATATTTATTGTGTATTTATTTAGTGAACACCACTTATAGTGTACTCTATATATAGTGGACGGTATGGCACGCAATACATACCGTCTTCAGTGTCACCGCCGATCACATCCATTGTCTTATCGTTAGTGATAAGTGTCTGTCCTTTCCTTCAAATATTAAGCCAATCGTATGGACAGTAATAATAATAATTATTGAATGTTAGGATCAGTTAAAGTGATAAACAAATGGGTAAACAATGCGGTGATTATTGTTTTGAATTTCATCACTTAAAATAATGAAACAAAAACAAGTCTCACAACCAATAGAAACGCGTAAACCATAAATGTTTTGCATATGAAAGCCATCACACGATTGGCTAAACCCCTAAACACTCAAATGCAAGCGCTGTATAACTAACCGTAAATTATTTAAAGTTTAGTAAATTAGTTAAACTAATGTTAATAAAGTATTATAAATGTTTAAAAATCAAATTTTATTGAATATAATTAGACAATTGAAATGATGGCCGGAAACTGAATCAATCACTCAATCACTGGTCGTCTCGTCGGCGATGGTCTGGCGGACAGTCATAAGAGTGTTGCCCAAGAAGTTGTCGCCATATTTATGCCATTCTAGGGGTTTATCGATGTCCTTATGATAGGCGCCGATACCAATGCCCCACAGTTTGTCCCGATAGCGGACCCGACCGGTCGGCACTTGAATAGCGATTTCGGCCAAAACGGCTGATCCGGTCGACAGTAACCACTCTTTGAGCGCTGAGTTTTGCGTAAACTTTTCGTAAAGTATTTTCGGCACCTTTTGGTCCCTCACTTCCGCCCACTTCTTGGGCACAAACGGCTTCACCTTTCGACCCAACCTCTTGGCCATTACGGGTGTCTTACAGTCGAGCACTTTATCGGCGGTGATTTGGTCGCCAAAAGTGACGGCCTTTTCGTACATAATAGCGCACTCGGAGTACTCGAAGTGGTGTCCACTGTATGTAAAGCTAGTCTTGTAAAAGTTGGACAGAGGGCTGGCCTTTGAGATACCGCCGTAACCTATGATCCGGTCATCGATTGAATACACGTACACTTCGTTAGCCTTCCTCTCGATTCTGTTCATTATTATTATATTCTTGTCGTTATTCTCATATGTAATATGTGTTGAGTTTTATGTTATGCAGTGTTTTAGTCGTTTGTTAAACGTTATGAGTTGTGGTTTGCGTTCACGGTTAGATATTTTCATTATTCACATTTACCCATCAAATTTTTGGGTAAATACATTCAACCAAAATGAGTAAAACTTGAAA